CCCCAAAACCCCAAAACCCCAAAACCCCAAAACCCCTAAAACTTGGATATAATTGAACAAATTTCAAAAATTACTCGACTTTCAGGATTGTCAGGCTTAACAAAGTAGCAAACCCTGTAGCAATAAAGCTACCAAAGTCAGCCCATACTGCAAGGTAGTTTATGAGTTTCTCTCTATTAATCTTACTCAGCTTTCTATTGTCCATAATTCTGTAATAAGAGAACAGGTATCCCCATCCACCAATTAGGCCGACTATGACTGCAAGGAACAGGATGATGAATTTATTGACATTTACATAAAATAATCAGAGAATGAAGAAGATTCAGAATAAGATGAACGATCCAAAAGCTATTATTCCAGTTGACTTAGTCTTAAAGAAATAAAGAGAGGATCTTGCCATTAGTACTCCGAGCTGATATAAGAATTGATTTATTGTGAACAAATTCTTTTCTATGAATCCATGCTCTTCTACAGTTCGGAGTTGTGAAAGTCGATCAAAGAACCCTGAAATGATAATGTATTCAAAGATATACAAGAAAAAGACCCACACATGGTTGAGAGGATCAATCTTGTATCCTTCCCACAAAGTTTGCTTTCCTTCTATTAAAGGCTCATCTTTTGAATTAGTTTTATCAAATAGTTCATCTGGTCCATTTATTGCACCAAGTTCCAATTGATTAGAAGGTTCATCCTGGTCTCTGAAGAAATTATTTTTCATCACATGAGCATCAAGATTAATAAAATTAGCTAAATAAAAGAGAACCACCGGTATCATCACCGAGAATATGATGTAGGTTGGTACTTCTTGCGAGTCCAGCACCAGAAATATCAAGGAGCCCACGAAGCCTCAGATTCCAGTTCCAGAGCTGAAGGGTCCCACGAACTCTGCGGGGATCGACTTGATGAATCCGTAGTGGATGACCTGGCCGAAGGCTGAGGCTGTCCCGGTGAAGATGGCGCCGACCACGACGAGGTAGAAGGAGGAGAACCAACCTGCGACTATGCAGCCGTAGCCAGCAATCATGATGAATGTATTAGCAATCAAACGATGCTTTGGTTTGAATCTCATGAGTAATAAGGCATTGATAAATAAGATCGTCACGCTTGCTATATTTGCAGCAAACATTATAGCAGATACTAAATTATTCTGATCGAAATGTAAGGCAATTGTCTTGCTACTCGAAAGCAACAAGAAGAATCCAAACTGATTAATAAGCCCTTGGATCGTCAATTGCATCTTTGCTCTTGTTTTTGGATTCATGGTTGTTTAATTATCTTTTCAATCCGTAATATTAATTTGGGGTTTTGGGGTTTTGGGGTTTTGGGGTTTTGGGG